AAATCCTTGTTCTCCCATTCACACTTTTCCTCTAGGCAAACGCTTATATTTTCTCATTTCCTCCCATTTTGTAGCATTTAATATTTTTCAATAAAGACTGTTGTTGGTGGCACGGAATCAAGTTTTGACTCTCAGTGACCCCATTGAACAAAGCATTTCTACCCTTTATGGTTTCCCAGGCCGTAATCTTCATGGATGGAGAACACCAGGTCTTTCACCTACTGAACTGACAGTCAGCCTTTTGGCTAACAGCCTAGGGCTTAACTGTTGCACCCCCAGGGTCCCTTTAATAGAGACTACATCCCAAATGAAGACCTCCATTGTTCTGAGAATATTCTAACTGTTATCAACTTCAGGTGCTTGATGATCTACAGCTGTTCCTGAAAACTTATCTTGTGCTTGAGGTCAGGTCAAACCTGATTTTCCTGAAAATAATTGACCACCCTTCTACAACTGATGGATGAAATAAATGCACACGGCAAAGAAATGGAGAAGGTTGGCAAGTCTCAAGTTCTGACCATGAGGCATTTAAACATCTAGTGAATCCAACCAATCACGTCTTCATCATAGCTTGCATCAAGGCACACAGCCCTGTAAAAAAGAGCCTGTCCTGGAAAGTCAGACTCATATGGGGAATGTACATGTCCCCAACAACAAGAAGAAGGGAATCACAGGCTCAGGAGCTAAGGAAAGGTGGTGACAACTAGATATTTTATCAAAATCTTTGTACACATGATTGGTTGTACCCTGAAACAAGAGCATCTCTTATCTAAGGAGAAGAGTATGAGATAACGGAATAGAGCTCTAATTCCAATGCCTCACATAAATGTGACAACAAATTCTTAGGAGAAGAGATGAGTTATGTCAGGATGGTGTCCTTCTGAATAAAGATGAACATTTTGGGAAATACTTTACCATTGTCATGTATTTCAGAATAATATTTAGCATCTAAACAAGAAAATAAAGAGGAGATGAGTTATTGATCCTGAAGGTTCAGGGTCACAGATTCAGGAGAACACCCATGTCAATTGATACAACAAAGTCCACTATGACAATTTCTATGTATTGCTTTGGGGAATAGCAACTGAGGTCTTCAAAGCGTGTGAGTGGCCATCTAAGGTGCAACTATTGGTCTCTTCCTGTCTGGAGCCAAAAAAGAGTGAAGAAAGTAAAAAATGCATGGAAACAATTAGTCCAAAGAGCTAATGGACCACACGAAACTTCACCATGACCCCAAGACGAGAAGAACTAGATGGTGCCCAGCTACCAGTACCAACTGCTCAGAAGAGGATCACATTAGACGGTACTGAAAGAATGGGTGAAAATGTGGAACAAACTCAAAATAGTAAAACAGGTTTGTTGGACCTATGGAGACTAGTGGAACCCCCATAACTACGAGCTTTAGTCACCCCTCAGGTCTGGAACTGAACTCACCTCTTTTGCTCAATTTTCAGCCAGGCGATAGGGCTATAAGGGAGGTACACACGCCTAAGAACCATCGAACAGTTGTGATCCAAAGGTAGGCAGGTGCCTAAGGACTAAGTCCATTCAGAAGACAGGACGGGTTAGGAGAGAAGGGGAATTGGAAATGGGAAGCCCTGTGGCCAAGGAATGGAATCAGTGATACTGCAGGTCTAGAATGTGTGATCAATGGCATGAAGCAAAACATGTACGAACTGTTCATGGAAAATTGATTCTGTAAACCTTCATCTAATTCACAACAATACATTTTAAAAAGAAGAAGAAGAAGACTAGAATTCACAAATAAGCGTCTTGTCTATCCATTTCCTTGTTGAAGCTATCATTTCTCATCTAGAGATGATGGTGAGGCCCCAAGTTGTTGTTTTTCATCATTTTACTGGGGGCTCTCACAGCTCTTACAACATTCCATACATCAATTGTATCAAGCAAGTTTTCATTAACATATAGGCTTTTCTTTTATTCAGTAACACCAAGGATACATATCTCACTGTCAACAACATACCCCTCCCCAAGATTTTTGTCCTTGAAGAAACTCCACATTACTTGTGTTCCCCAGGAGGCAGTTAGAAGTTCCAGAAGAGCCAAACACAGCTGTTCAGGCACAGAGGAAGCTGGTGCTCGGTAAAAACCAAACCAAAACAAAACCTTACCCACACATTCAAAGATGGCAAAGTTCCCAGATCTATAGCTTGATATGAAAGAAAAGAACACTGCCGGATGCAGAAGTCTTTCCTCCCAAACTGACTTCTCTGAGTGCACACAAACAGAACAAAATTCATAAGAATAAAAAAATGTTTGTTCACAGGAAACCTACAGCACGAACCCTTCTCCCCTGCTCCATAGCCTAGTTTTCAATAATAACGACCTCTGAGAATCCTCAGCGTTACCCAAAGTGGAAGAGAGAGAAAACAAGCAATATTAAACTAAGAAGAACAACTCTGTATGAGAATGTTATCCAGTGGGGTTTGTGCATATCCTCACCTACCCAAGTAAGGTAGACAGGTGTTGTCTGTCAGCACACGGCAGAGGCAGGGCAAAGGGGATGACGGAATGTCAGGTGGGTTGTTTGATTGTTATCTTATATGCTGCTCACAATGCCCAGAAATTGACACCATGTCCACCATTTGACAGGAGGAAGCTGAGGCTCCCAGTGGTTAAGTAACTTGTGGAAGATTACACACCTGGTGAGTGGCTCCCAGGCTGGTGTATACCCCAAACCACCAAAATTCCTGGCTGTAATCAACCAGGCTGCTGATAAGTGTTTTCACAAAAAAAGCTAGCTGCAAGCAGATTGGCCACACATTGGGCTAAAGGAAGTTGAACAGGTTTCTTTACTGAAAGACCTTCAGAAGCCTTTCATGTTCTAACGTAGATTGTAAATCGTTGTGTCTGATTTCCCTGAATTTTATTCTTTTGCATGGAACACCACAAGGCACTGGTGTCCCCAGAAAGTCACATTGGGAGTCATTAGAGGACACCCTGTCAGTCTCATTGAGATCCTTGATCTGTTCTTGAGCCTGACAATGACTTTGGAGGAGTCTAGGGAAAGTAAACATGCAAGTGGGAAGCTCAGACACACCTAGACTGTTTGTAGGAACACAGGAGAAGAGCCAAGAAGGGAAGAGGGAACCAGGAGAAGGGGAAGTAGGCCTAGGTAATTATGAGAGTAGCAATGCATAACCCCAAGTACTTGTTGCATGCCACACTCTTTTTATGTGCACATGTAGTCCTCATAAGCAGCTTCAGTCTAGAAATGAATAGCCCCATTGCATAGATGATGAAATGGAGACACAGAGAGTTTTGGTAACTTGCTTAGATAGCTCATAGATGTCTGCATGTTGAACCCAGGTAGTCTGATGAATTAACAGCTGTCGGGTACTTGTTCATGCTGAAGGGACATTTGGTTGGGGATTTGTGAGGTAGAGAAGGGTGTTCATGGTAGAAGATGCATATCATAGTTACCCAAACAACCTGAAAGCTTAAAAATAATAATGATAGGGCGGGGGAAGGAGGGGGAAAATGAGGAGCTGATATCAAGGGCTCAAGTAGAAAGAAAATGCTTTGAAAATGGTGATGGCAACATATGTACAGATGTGGTTGACACCATGGATGAATGTATGGATTGTGATAAGAGATGTAAGAGCCCCCCATAAAAGTATTTAATAAGAAATAAATGATAACAAGAATAGTAACTTTCATTTTTATTTGAATTCTCATTTATTCTACAAATATCTCCTGATGTGTGTTGTACCAGGAGGTACCCTGATGGCCGTGTCTAAGCAATAGGCTGATAATTAGGACAGTGGCTCACACCCACCACTTGCTCCACAGAGAACGATATGGCCGTTTGCTTGCTTAAAGATTTGCAGCCGTGAAAACCATACAAGGTCATTATGAATGGGGTGGTATTGGTTTGAGCTGTTCCAGGCAATATCCGAGGTGCTAAAGACTGTTTTGAATAAAATTGACATGGTTTCTGCCCCACCAGGATTCAAAATGGAATGGAGGGAGACATAAAAGGGAGGATATCATGACAACACAAAATGACATGTGCTTTCCTTAGGAAGGCTATGCAGAGGACATGGGTACAAGGCACGCACGTAACCCAACATAGGATGGCCCTTTGACACTTGTTAAAATGCTGCCCCTCTACGTGATCCTGACAAGGAGGATGTTTAATCATCGCAATCAGTGCTCTTTTGGACAACCCTAGTCCACTGGCAAATAACAACTGAGAGAGATAAGGTTTGGAGTCGAAAGACATGAATTAAAGCCAACCTCTACTTCATCCCCTTGGCTCTCGAGCCTTGGTGTTTAATTGCCAACCTTGGTTTCTTCACGTATACAATGTACCAACCTTGGGGAACCACGGTCAGCGCCCACCGCGAAGCACGATGGAGCAGTCCACGTCAGCACACTGGAGAACGCGGACAGCGTGGGCAGGTCTGAAAAACAGTTCTGCGCAAAAACCAACCAACCAACCAAGTGACCAGCAGAATGAGAAATACAAGAATGCCGTTTATGTAATATAACACATACACACAACCTATAAATCCACAAAAACTACAGACATCGAATACATCGCAATGGTTGTCTATATTAGAAGAAGAGAATATAAGTGAGGTAGGAAGTGAAGGGGGATGAGTCAAAAGCAGAGGGCAGTGACAGATTAAAATATAACAAGCACATAAAAACGGGAGCAATGATGCTCCCCTCCCTGCCTCCTAGGGTTATTCTGAGGGGATTATGTACATGTCAGCAAAGGCCAACCTCTTGCTTTCGCTATCCTCTTGCTATTGGACAAATGAACTGAACAGAGGTTGCTAGAAAATCCCTTCCACTCCTCAGGAGGAAGCTGTCAGCAGGGCGGTGCCCATGATGGCTTGTCCTGGCCTCAGGTTTCTGGTGGGCTGTCTTCCGAGCTCTTCGTGAATGCCAGGCTCTGCCCTCACTTTGGGAGACACCACTTGCTGGCAGAGCCAGCAGCAGCAGCAGCCTCTTCCCAGAGATCCACTGCAATGGCCCACACAGGCCCCAGGAAGAAGAGAGCCAGGCAGATGGGCACATCCATGGCTCCCACTCAAGATATAAAGTTTCGGGATTTGGTCCTCTTCATTTTGGAGAAGAAAATGGGAGTCACCCGCAGGGCCTTCCTCATGGAGTTGGCCCGAAGGAAAGGGTTCAGGGTTGAAAATGAGCTCAGGTAGGCCATCACTAATTTCATTTTACCGATACGCTGGTCCTTTGAAACCCAAGAAAGATGTGCTTCTTCCACAGATGGAAGAGCTGGTGTTCCCACGGGGAGAACAGCAGAGCTGAAATCACTGAGCAATCTTGAGACCAGGGGAAAAAGAGAGGGAAACTGAGGACAATTTCATTGAAACTGGTTGGGCACCAAATGATAAAAGAGTTTCGCATTTGTTTGTCAGCTGGTTGGCTTTTTCCTGTCACTGTTAAGGCATAGGCATCTAGGTGAGAGGTCAGGCATCCAACAAACAGAGGATGATCTGGAAAAATTAATATTAAGACCTCTCATTTTCATTCTTGACCAAATTAAACAAAACAACAAACACCCAGTTACTTTGAGACAGAGAAGGGTCTGGTTTTGCTTGGCGCTTACCGAAACACCTGGCTGTGCTGGGTTGACCACTGGCTGGGATGGGCTAGGGTTCGTGACTGTAGCTGGCATCCAGTGTGGCTTTGGTCATCATGTTATGGTCCATCCAATCCAAGGTGGATTTGTAGTTAGAAGAATGCTGGTCAAAGATTTGGTGACAACCATACCCAGCAGTGACAGACACCGTGTGGAGGGTGATGAAGCAAGAGATCAACCTACATGACATTTGAAGCAACCTTTTCGGCTGCCTAGATGGTAGATGACCGCAGACTCAGTGGTCCCAGCAGTTACCCTCTTGCTTGTCTAACCATTATGTATGCGGATGTATTATCTGTGGAAGAGAAAACAAAATAAAATCCAGTAACAAGTGGTGTTAGAACTCCAACATCCGTTTTAATTCTGAACCAAACTACCAGGTTGCTTGCAATGAGGTAAAAATGATGATTAATGAAGGTATGTGGCTTGGAATGTCCAAGGCATAGGTTGACCATAGTGGGTTTGTTGTTTGTTTTTTAAACAAGAAAAACTCTAAGAATTATCTGTGAAAGTGTTGATTTAAAAAATAGTAATTGTTTAGTAATATTTGAAAATAGAAGCTGACCAGGACATCCAAATGAAGGAATATTGGCTCTAGAATGTGCGGAGACCTATTTTAAAAATCAATCATCAGAGATGGTAATTTTCATTAATATGCATGGAAATATCACTGGCATAGAAATATTTTTTGTTTCTACTAAAATGCTCAATTCAGAAATTTCTGCATTTCCTGTAATCTTTCGGGCAAAACATCTTATTTCTCTTTGCATCACCTCCTTTTCCTTTTCTCAGCAATTTTCTTTTCATTTTTAGCACCCTGCAGCCCCTTTCAATCTCATTTCAGACTTAACATCATCTCCACGATACCTGAGATTTCACCTGCTTGTTAAATCTGTCTTACAAAAAAGGTTGGAGCTGGGGAGAGGGGACTTCCTAGGAGTCCAGGAAAACAGTCCATCACAAATCAGTAAAAACAAAGAAATACAAACCCATTGCCATCTGGTTCGTTCCGACTCATGGCGCCCTCACACGCTGCAGGGGGGAACTGCCCCACCGTGGTGACTATCATATTACAGGACTAGGTCTCCAGGCCTTTCTACAACTGTGTGGCTGGATGGGTTCAAACCACCAACCTTAGCATGAGTAGTTGACTTCAAACTGTTTACGCTACCCAAAGGCTCTCACCCTCCCCGCCCCCCCAAAAATCAATAAAGAGGTCCCCAGAAACTAACTGAAAAACCTCACTGCTATCTAGTCGATTCTGTAGAACAGAGTAGAACTGCCTCTGTAGATTTTCAAGGCTGTAACTCTACGGGAGAAGAAAGCCTCATCTTTCCCCCGTGGAGAGGCTGGTGGTTTCGAACTGCTGACTGTGGTTAGCAGCCCAACTCAGAACCACTGCAACACCAGGCCTCTGCACAAAAATTAAACCCTTTCGCAAATACAGATCTGTTTTGTTTTGGTTTTGCGGTAAAGAGAAATGTGTCAAGGGATTGCAGGAAGGCAAGAACCGATGACCCTAAGGTACCACTTACATGGAAGCTGTTAGCGCATCCAAACTTCCCGCGAGGGGCCACTGATTTAATGATCGACACAGCTATGAAGTCGTCCTTGGTGGCTAAGGCAAGTCCTCAGGTACAGGAGAGGAGGTAAGTGTTTTCAGCTGGAGGACAGCCAGCGAGGCACCTCTGTGCCCCAGATGCCTGCTGCCCGCAACAGAGGAAGCTGGTGCACGGTGCACAAACTGCTGTGCATGTGATGGTAGCCAGGTTCCCAAGCTGACAGCTCGGAAGGCGCATTAACTACACATGTGCTTTGTAGCTTACAATAAACCACAGGAAGTCAAGTCCCAGCTCTCCAACAGAATTTATATATGTAAATACATTGAGTTTAACTGTAACGGGAAATAGAAATGATTCTATGGGGGGAAATCTCAAGAAAAAACCCAGAGACCTCAAATCAGCCAGCTGGTAAGGGGCAATGAATGCCCTTCTCTTTCCACTTGGACCTTACGTTTCTGGTGGCTGCTCACCTGCTGCATCACCCAACGAGGTGATGGGGGGGCGTGTGTGCGTTCAAACAGCTAGGCAAGGGGCCAGCGGGATTCGTCCCTTGTTGCTTAGCCGGATCTCTAGACCTTCCTTCAGTGCAACTGCCTGCTCTTTCCACACCACACGGGGGTTTCAAGCCATTCATGGGGGGAGCGGAGGTGCAGTTGAAATGGAAATATAAGCTGTATGAGCCCCGCCCCCGCAAAAAATGCTTTTTTTTAAAAGAAAGAAAATATAATGGAATTTTTCCATGAACTTTTTGGAGCCCCCTAGTATGAACTAGGTCAAAGATCTAAACAAACAGAAGACAGGAAGGAAGCCCACCCAAACGTTGGGTGCTGTTTGGCAGGGGTGGGAACATGGGGTCGGGGTGTAGTGAGGTGAGATTATGGCTCTGTTTCTTTTCTGAGTTTTCCCAATTTTTGGACATAGATATGCATTTTAAAACACAAAGATATTTTTAAAGCTCTTTTTTTGGCAGGGGGCAGCACATGTTGATAGTGAACGCTATATTCTTCTTCCCGAGTGTATAAAATTCAAAGAAAAAAAAAACTGTTCTGAAAATAGGTGGTGGTCTCCCTCGTTCTTAGCACATTCTTCAGTTATCAGGAGGATTACATATGGTGGAGGGTTGGGGGGGTGGGGGGCGGCGGGTAGGGGGTGCTGCTTTTACTGAGGTTCAGGCGCACAGATTGGAAAGGGGCTACCTGACTGTATCGAACCGTGGAGCCATTTCATTCTCCAGCATGGATGCACTGTCTTTGGCTTATGCTTCATTAAGCCTTATGTTATATTACAAAAACATGCTAATCCATGGGCTGTAGGAATCTGGGTCTCAAAACTGAAGCCAGGGATGTCAAGTTCTGCGAGGCGCTTTGGTACATTCATGAAAAGGATATGGAACTGTACCCCATGGCCAACAGCCTAGACTCCGGGGCAGCCTCTTTGAATCATTTAGGACACGCGAGTGAAGGAACAGAGACGGGTCATTGCTACATTCTGATGGCCTCCCAGGTTCTAGGCGACTGACTTTATTCTGTCCTCAATCCTCACTCTCTATCTTAAAAGGAACCTTGGCGACCCAAGGATGAAGTGCTCAGTGTTAACCCAAAGGCCATCAGCTGCTGTGTGAGGAAAAATAAAGTGTCCATGTGCTTCCCTAAAGGTTACAGGCTAGGAAGCCCTTTGGAGCAGTTCTACTCTGTCCTGCAGGGTTGCCAGGGATCGGAATGGACTTAAGGACACAGAACAACCACATCATCTGTCTTGAGTCCAATCACTGGTACGGAGACAGAGCGAGCTAAACTGCCGGATGGATGTCAGCCTGGAGAGCCATCCTCCCTGGCTAGTTAGGCTTCGAATCCAAAGGTCAGCAGTTCACAAGCACCAGCCGCTCCATGGTAGAAAGACAGGGCTATGGACGCCTGTAAAGAGTTACAGTCTAGGAATCTCACCCGGCAGTTCTACCCTGTCCTACAGGGTCACGATGAGCCAGCATGGGCTCCATGGCCGTGGCTGTGAGTTTGGCTTTTTGTGTTTTGGAAACACAAACTAGTACAAGCCCTGGGTCCTGCAGGCAAGTTGATAAGGGGGCAGAGGGCTCCACAGGTGTGCCTTCGTTGTCAGGCTTCGAGATCCCTGGTGGTTCAACACCGAAGTGTTCAGCTGCTGACTAGGCCTTTGAATCCTGGGAAACACCTGGAAATCCGCTCTCCTGACGATTCCAGCCCAGGAAATCCTCATGGAGGCAGCCCTACTCCGCCACACGGGGTCACTGTGTGTTGAAATAGGCTCAATCGCACCCCCCCCCACACACACACACCCCAAAATCAAAATAAAGAAGATTCTATGTCTTAGCTATCTAGTGGATGGCTTGGATGGGCAGAAATTTATTCTCTCACCGCTTAGGAGGCTGCAAGTCCGAATCCAGAGTTCTAGTTTAGGGGAGGACTTTCTCTGTCCATCTCAGGTTCTTGTCTCCTCCCAACATCTGTGAGACATCTGTTCTCCCTGTGTCTCGGCCTCAATCTTCTCCTGGGCCTAGGGGGTTATCAGGTCAGGGAGCCTGAGCCCAAAGGACTCGCTCTATTCTGAGTGTGTTCATCTTGGTGCGAGCCAGGTCCCTCTTTTTCCTGTTTCCTTCTTCCTTCTTTTCCCTTACACCTGGTCGGCTGATTAGGTCAGATCACGCCAAGGAGGCTGATTACATCATCGTGTAACTGCCAAGCCATTCAGAATCATGGCCCAGCCAAGTTGGCACCTGTTGGGGAGGGACACAGTTCAATTCATGACACCATATACTCCATACAAGGATCAGTCTTCCTATGTTTTGTTATTTTTTAAGCATTGCCCACGCAACCCTTAGCTTTCCATCTTGTATCCTTTTATTTTAGTTTCCTTTTTGTTTCCCCGGCTGCTTGTCTTTCCCATTCAGTGGCTGTGTTACATGGGAAAGGGGCTTGTGCTCTGCTCATTGTCTGAACGGTTATCTACAAAGGC